AATATGGTCAGTGATAGATTTACAGTCTAGAAATAAACAACAAACATACTTATCGCTATCTTATAATGTATGACAGCAACAGCATCAAAGGCACGTTTTTTCCTATTTTTAATCAGACTGATCTGAATCAGTATACTCATTTGAAACAGGCAACTCTACTTATTAAACTGATCTGTTTCGTTGCAGGCTTCAAGCACTATACTTAAGTATACCATAGTTCTTTTGTAGTGACTCACATTTATCATGAGAACACGACTGGTTTAATAAAAACAATTATTATTATTATTATAACCAATTGTACCAGTGTTTGTTTTAATGTGCTTTTGTTTGACTCTGCTAATGATAGCTATATTGTGCTTCCATTCTTATACTCACACATTGATTGTGACTTCGCGCGAATTCGGTTACGTTCTGTAACCAAGCTTGTATCCTGGCACGATCTCGGTATCCTTTCGATGTCACGAGATCGCCAGAGAATATATCTCGATTAGGTCCATTAACTGTCTTCTGATATTTGGCTTCTCCAGGATTTTCTGGATCTATTTGGTTGCGTTCAACCTACGTCTTCTGATTTATTTGGCACGTGTTTCTTGGTAGCGGTGTTCATAGTTAATCCCAACTCGACTCCACGCTACACTTTCAACTAAACTGAATTATGCGACAACCAAGAATACTAAACTAAGCAGGTGTCATAGTTGTTGTTTCATTTGCACAGACAAGTTGCTCAGAATATTTAAATGGACATAGTTAAGCCGATTAAACCAAAACACGAAATATAGGCCAGTTGAACTCACCTAACAAAGGCAAAGGATATATATATTGCTTTCCGACTGAAGACAACAGTCAGTTGTTCATACAAGCATAGTTTACAGTACAACAAACCTTTCTTCAGTAAGATTATGCACTGACCGTCTATCTGGAAACAATCAGCTATGTGATTAAACTCACTGACTTGTGATAACATCTCAGCGTGCAGTGAACGTACAGTGTAACGCAGTCGGACGTGGCGAATAAAAATTAAAAATATAGCAAAATTAACTACATAATCTAGTTATTTAATTAAAAATACATTATGAAATGACAAAATCTGTGGTCGCCTGAACGCACAGATGACCCTGTGCGATACATTAAGTTTACCTAGTTGCGTTGCGGATAAGTTCATCGATACATGTCTTATCAATAAGCTCAAACGACTATTTATAATATCACCTCTAATTAACTAGTTCACTCTATATCTAAAAAACCAACATTTTAGGGCGAGGGTTGACTTCACTTTCTCTCACTCTATGGAATAGCCTTGTGGGTTCCCCCAGTATTCAGTGTTAGAACCTCTTCTCTTGATCTATGTAAACGGTCTCTCAAAACAGGTAGGGTCAGACTTATTACTTTTCATTGACGATGTAAAACTGAAGAGAATTACGAAACCAAGACGGTAAACCAGCACTCCATTAGGATCTGACTCGACTTCAAAGTTGGGCAGATGACAACGGACTTCAAAGTGTAAAGTAGTATATCTGGGACATGATGCGGACTACGAATGCAGTTTAGGCAGCTCCCCTCATTTGATGTCTACGCTTACTGCGACAAAAATGCCTCCCGAGCAAACCTTGCACCGGTAACATCGAAGCGCATTTTCAGTTAGTTCGACGGAAGATTTTTTCACATAATCTTCAACAGTTTTATTCGTCCCCAGTTAGAGTACAGAAACATAGTACCTCCTTCCTCACTCCAAAAGGATGAGACCACTCCGGAACGTATTCAACAGCGAGGCATGAAATCGGTTTGGACATTCAAATTCTAGTCTTATGAAGAATTCTTACCAGTTAGAGTACAGGCGTCTCAGACGTGACGTTTTGATGACCTTAAGCATCATAAGTGCTTCTAAACATCCGCTTAAGCACCTACTTAAGCCTAGTCCCAATACAAATCTTAGGGGTAACGCCCAGAAACTGGTGACACAAACAGCAGAACGGACTGTAGACACCTACTCCATAGGAGTAGTTAACTCTTGAAACTCCCGCCGGCTGAGTTGGTACGAGCGACTATCCAGGAGTCATTTGCGAGAAAATATGACATGCTCTGAAAGACTAAAGACAGTATCTCTCTCAGGAGTTAGTATTTGTGAGCTTTATAGAATAGGACAAAAGGTGGATCCTGAGAGTCCTCAGAAAAACTGCCTCTTGAAGGTTACATTTGCCACGGTTGAAAAAAGGAACCTGATCCTAGGTAACTCACGTAAACTGATTGGATCCGGAATATATGTCCGTGAGGATCTCAGCCTAGCTGATCGTATTAAGGGACGAGCTGCAGAAGTGGAAATAAATGAGCGTCGCCGAAACAGTGAAAGAAACCTCGTTATTAAGGGTTTTCAAATTGTAAATGTTCGGAGAAAAACGATCCCCAAACCACTCTGGGTGGTAAGGGAAAGTCCTCCACAGACTTGAAGGTATTCTACATAAATGCTCGCAGCCTACTAGATAAAATGGCGGAGCTCAAGTCAATGGTATGACTTAAGAAACTCTTCTCTTATAGATTTAGTCTTCACACACGGTGATGATGTTGGTCAAGTGACTTTTCTCCCACCACTAGGGAGGAGTGACCATCCAGTCATCTCATTCAAATTCATGGCTGAGATTGCCTGCCAAACAGTTGCGCCGGCCCGTCCTGATATATGGAAAGCAGATATGGAGGCAATCAACTCCTCAGCATTGGCTGAAAACTGGGAAATTGACTCAAGGGCATCATTACAAGAGGTATGGACTCTTTTCAGTCAGTTATGCAATCGGGTCACTCAACCATACATACCCTGGACAGTTCCAAAGAACAAGAAGCACGGCCATCCCTGGACAGGCCATGATATTCGGCGTTTACTAAGACAAATGAAGAAATGTTGAAATGTTGCCATCCGCCTTGGCACAGCAGGTACGATGGAACGCTACAGATCGGTAAGAAAGAAGTGTACAACAAAAATTCGTGAAGCTCAAAGAAAATATGAAATGCAGTCGGCACAATCTGCACTCAAGCAGCCCAAGAGAATATTCTCGTACATAAACTACAGAACAAGGATGGATCATTGAATTCCCAACTTAATTAAAGAAGGGAGTGAATCTGAAATGATAGAGGAAGATCAGGGAGAAGCAGAGGCTATAGCTGACTATTTTGGGGCAGTTTTCACTCAGGAACCTCCGATAGACAAAGAACTAGACCAAAATAAAGAGTCAACAGACCACCTGCTCACCGTGGACTTCGGTCAAGACGATGTGCTTAAGGCTCTTAGCACCTTGAATATGGAAAAGTCAACAGGACCAGATGAACTACACCCCAAAATCTTGAGACATATTGCACAATATATCGCGGCCCCATTGACTGTGATATTCAACATGTCACCTGACCAAGGTGTGTTACTTATGGGCTGGAAGGACGCGATCGTCACTCTCATACATAAAACAGGATCAAGACAAGTTCCATCGGACTACAGACCCGTAAGCCTCACCAGTGTTGTAGTTAAAATATTGGAAAGAATAGTCAAACGGACCATAATGGCATTTGTGGAAACCAATAACTTGCTAAATATAGAACAACATGGTTCTGGAAAGGGTCTATCTTGTACAGCAACCCTCTTTATAGCAAGGGAGTTTTGGATAAAGGCGCTAGACAGTGGAAACTCAGTAGATGTTGTCTACATAGACTTCAGTAAGGCTTTTGAGAAGGTGCCAACTAATAGACTACTATTGAAGTTGGAAAGCCTTGGTATGGCCGGAACTCTTTTAAAACGGATTGAGGATTTCCTAGTAGGTTGTAGACACAGAATAAGAATAAATTCCAAGTGCCCTATCTGGAGACTAGTACTTAGTGGGGTACCTTAAGGCTCCGTCCTAGGTCTTTTACTTTTAATAATGTTAATGATCTTCCAAGTATGGTACAGTCTCCAGTGTTATTATACGTTGACGATGTAAAGATCTGGCGAGTAATAACTGGAGACACAGAGGCATGTGCTCTTCAAGCAGACTTAACTAATATGATTAACTGGTCTAAAGAGTGGCTGGTGCCTATAAACGCGGCGAAGTGTGTCTACATGCACTTTGGGTATTCAAAGGTTGATGGGTAGAACATAGGGGAAGTTCCATTAGCCGTGGTCCGGTCTCATAGGGATCTAGGGGTAACAGTGAGTCATGATCTTCAGACGACGGCCGATTGCCGGGAGGTCGCAGCCAAGGGGTTTCGAACCCTCCGGGGTTTAAAACGGACATTCTCTAAGTTAGATGCTTCTATGTTCACCACAGGTTACGCATCCTTAGTGAGAACTAAGCTTGAGGACTGCACTCAGGCTGCAAGCCACTGTTTAAAAGGTGACTCGGATATCATAGAAGTACAGAGGGCAGCTACCCATGCAATTCCAGAACTCCGGGGTTTACCATACAAAGAGCGGCTTGAAAAGCTGGACCTCTTTACTCCGTCCTATCGCACACTAAGGGAAGATCTAATTTTGATGTGCAGAACGCTGAGAAATGATTTTGGAACTGACTTATTCTCTCTTTTTCTTCCCACTAGACCAGGACATCTCAGAGGACATAGCAGGCGAGTAGAAAATCCAAGAACGAACAAAATACGCGTGGCATACAGGTTTTCACACCGTGTCACCAATACGTAGAACTTGCTGCCCGAAGCAGTGGTGTCCGCAACTTCAATTGACTCTTTCAAGAGAAGACTGGACACTCACAGGAGCATACTAGAAAAGGAATAACATAGGCTGTAGGCCTTCTGTCCTTACTACACAAATCTGAATCTATAATTCATCAACCTGCAGAATAAGCTCATGGCGAATGCACTGCATCTAGAAGTTATCCGGGTAGAATAAAAAAATTAGACTTTTCAAGGACTGCTTTTGCGTTACAAGAAGTATGCTGATATAAGTGATTTATTTAACCATCAGTCGAACAGATGTTGAACCTTGAATGTTAAGGCTACGATTTCGTTGAAGAATTCGATTCTTGGCCTTAATGTCCTTGACGTCGGACAATGATATTATTTGGCCATGGCAATACAAGTTCCCGCCGTTCTTCACTCTTCAACCAAATGCTGAAACCCGTCGCAAACAAATAAATGCGTGGTGTCAGTTAGTCCTTAATTATTTTCAAAATAAAAAGCAATTCTCACTGAGTGTTGCAAGTATTCGTGATCCCTCCTGTCCTCTTTTTAATAACAAAAGTATTCAGCGCTCAGCAAGCCCAGAATTGATCGACCTCATTTTGACTGAATTGCATAAGCGTGGTAATCTTGAGTGGGTTGACAGGTAATTACTTAGTTATTTCCCTAGGTCAGTTAATCTCCGGGTCAACTTCTACTTCTATAGATGTATAAATATCTAGTAAACACCTAGTGAAATTATTTTCTCTTTCTCCGTAGCAACTTAACATTGATTAAAGCAACACAGGTATTTTAATTATAGCACATACAGAAACTCGAAAACAGCGTACATGTGTTATCCCTTTTTTGCTTGCTTCCGCGTGTCTGGTGTTCTGAATGAGGTAACCGAAAATGCGGACGCCATCTCTGGTATTTGTTTTCAGGTTGACTGCTGGGTGATAGGATCTGTATCCTTAGGGATTCTGTTCGTTGTCGGGTTTCAAATTCATATGGTTTTGTCTTATTACAGTTTTAAGAAGTGACAAGTAAGGTTTAAAATCGTCCTCGGAATTCTTTACACTACAATTCAGTCGCCCTCTAATTTGTAGTATTGCAATGAAAAAGTAATTTTTAAAGTAGTCTATGTACTCTTCACTAAATCCAAGTGGCCTTTTATATAGGGCCTTGCGACCTGTAAACAACTTTCCTATTCAAGTCTCACTGAAATTATAAAAGCTTATCTTAATACCTATACAATTTTAAGATTCTTAGTACCTATTTTCTATGTTCATTTGGGTGGAACAGCACTGATCGGGACTCGCCATGTCTTGTATCACATAAGCAGGACGCCGATGTTGTATTAAAATATATAAATACTACCAGTAGTGTTGGTTAGCGTAGTTTTGAAGATGAAAAGATGTGATTGTTGTAGCAATTGGTGGTTATGTATAAAAGAAAGATTGGACATAAGGATATAGTACAGGAAGAAAGAATTAGTTGGTAGGGAAAAAGATATAAGTCGACTTTAATCCCATGGTTTAAGGGAAGACAGTGTATACACCTACGCCATTGTGATCGATTCTGAGCCATAGTTGCGCGGACCCCAAGCAAGTAGTCCGCATCTACTAACATGGCTAAGGCTAGAAGTTAGTGACTTTATGCACTGATGCCACGTTTTGGTTTGGCCGCCCCTAACTTTCTTCCAACTATCCCCAACACTAGTCAGTATTGCAAGTTTCTGATCAAAAAGTTCCTGCCTAGATCCCCATGTCTATTAGATCTGTTCTTTATCGATTCATTACATTACAATAATATAATATATAAAGTAATGACTACTGTAAATTTCTATTTATCAATGACCTTTCCCTGATTTTGGTACGATTCTATTGATGAGGCTTTATCTGATTCGCCATACTCTAACTATAGATAGACCAAGATAAAATATTTAGACGTTGGTTTCTTACCAAAATTTATTATATGTTTTCCTGTACAGAATACTTGATAATTAACCGATTTTCACAGTAACGTATCATTAGTTATCATATTAGGCTCCCGTAAACCTAATGTATAGGCAGTATTTCAACATTTAACTTGCTCTGTTGGTCAATGGTAAATGATTTTTACACTGACAAAATATACTTGACTTTTATTCCAACCTTTAGGTCTCATACCAATGCCAAGATTATATGGCGGACTCCTGAAGAATGGGCTGATATTATAGCGAAGTGGGCCCGATCCACTGGTCACGGAAATTCAGTTTGCACATTTTACGAGTTGACTGACGGTGACGATACAAAGCAAGAAGCTTTTCATGGTTTAGATGTATCTGTCTTAACAAATGCATTAACTGTCCTTCAAAAACGAGGTCAAGCTGAAATGATGGAAGATGAAGGTGTAAAGTTTTACTGTTAGTCTGCTTTATCTATAGTCTCCAAGTAAACTTTACGACACAGTAATATAGTGGTTGTCTTTTTGGAAAACTCCTTTATCTTCAAAGCAGGTAATCTCAAGTTCATGGGTTTATTTTCACTTCCACCTATGACAAAACTGAAAATTGTTCTTTGATTATTCTAACTAACCATCGTACATAATGTTAGTGTGGAACTTTATATGAATCCGATTTTGAGGTGTTTTTTTTGTTGCACGAGGCTTCAATAATAATCCAGTACTCAGTCTAGAGTGAATTGTGAATAATTCTGTTGACTCTGTAGACTTTTACTTTAGCTTTCTTAGTAACCTGTATGTAAATATATGTAATAGGAATGGGAAATTCCATTTCATCAATTTAATGGAAATTTTCTTTTATAGTTAAAAGACTTTAACTGATATTGCTGTTATAATTGTTATCGTTATTTAAATTGGCTGTGTTTATGTTTCTCAGTTTTGTAGTTTCTCATTTTTAGTTCAATGTTGGGTGTTATTTATTTATTTATTTATTTGAACACATAGATATTGGTACAAAGGGCACCAAATACATATGCGCCACACAAGTCACTTGATTTTTGTGTGGGCTGTGATACTGCCTGGGTGCCCAGATCGAAACAGGTGGTTTCTCAGGGGCCATACCCGGAGCCGTCGACCTAAAGGTCTGATCCACAAGGCAGTGGAGCCACATCAGGAGGTGCAGTCCCATGGTAGCCAGTGACCAACGATTGGTTCATACGCCATTTGTTCAGTCAGGATCCTGGAGCCCATGTGCACCATTGGTTTGGAATGAAAGTTTTCCGACTCCCTTAGGTGAACCCTCAGTACCCACCGATCCAGGTAGAGCACCAGGCTTTCGTTTTTTGTCCTCTCAACTTCTTAACGTCCCCGCCTCGGTTAGGCAGTTAGTAGGGCTTCCCTGGCAGTGGCTGTGTACGCATGGTCATGTGAAAGCATTTCGTGAAGGAGAGCGGACTCTCCCCACCCTCGATCATACCAGGGGTTTTGGGGGCACTTAGTTTTGGTTCATTATTTGAGAATAAAATGAATATTCACTATTGCATAACAAAGATTTCAGCATATTGAATTTGCACTTAGGTGCAGATGATACCCTTGATGCGGTGTTCTTGATTATCCATCGTAGTGACCCAGCTGAGTTATGTTTGTAGATGCGCGTTTTTCTCTTAGTGTCCTAAAAATCATGATGTGGTTATTTGGGAGGTAATAAAGCTAGTCAGTCAGTCAGTAACAACGTAGAACTTCGTACGTACGTACATCAGTTCGAGTTGCCACACCACATTAGCACAGAGATGCAGTTGTCGATTCAAATCCCGTAGTGGTAGAGGTAATAAGAGTATAAGCAGTAATCGGGAAGATTAGGGTTTGGAGATGTTATTTAAAGAGTATAATCCAGTGAAATAAATTTGGAAAGAGGAAAAAAGGGACATGAAGGATTCAGAAGATTAGAATTTGGGAGAACACAGAGAGTGGATGCACCTGCGCCATTGCAAACGATTTTGAGCCATGTCATTCAGGGTCTCTAACCATCGGTTGCTATCATCTCGCGGTCCCCAACCAGGTAGTCTACACCTACCAACATGACTCAGTTCACTTGTCAGTGACTTCATGGACTTGTGCCATGTTTTGGTTTGGCCGCCCCTAGCTTTCTTCCAACCTACTCCTATACCACTGAACATAGCACGTCGAGGCAGTCGGTCGTTGGGCATACGTAACACGTGTCCCAGCCATCTCAACTGATGAAGTTTCACTACTTCATCAATTGATTTGCCATCCTTACCTAGTACCCGTTTCCTAACAACTGTGTTACTTACTCGATGGTCCCATGATATACGAGCAATGTTTCGAAGACACCTATGATCAAATACTAGTAACCTACGGATATCCTCTACTCTTACCGGCCATGTTTCACTGCCATAAAGTAGGACGGAACGAACTGCTGCGCAGTAAACACGTCCTTTGGTTGATAGACGGATATCTCGCCTACGCCATAAATGACGCAAGTTGGCAAAAGCTAGTCGAGCCTTCTGTATCCGTGCTGAGATTTCGTCACACACTAAACCACAAGGGCTGATGAGACTTCCAAGATAAGTGAAGCGGTCGACACACTCAACTACTTCACTCCCTATCACTAGTTCGGGTGTCGATGTAACCCAATCCTGAAGCAACATTTTGCATTTCGAGGGAGAGAATCGCATCCCGAACATGCTTGCATTGTTGCTTAGAGTGGTCAGAAGACTCTGCATTTTGTCAGCGTCTTCACCAAATAAAACTATGTCATCAGCATATTCTAAGTCAACAAGTGAACCTCCCGGTAGAAGTTCAACCCCTGGAAATTTAGATGAGGAGAGTGTTATCTCTAAAAGTACGTCGACCACAAAGTTGAACAAGAATGGGGAGAGTGGACAGCCCTGACGAACACCACTTGAGGTAATCAATTCTGATGACAGTTCGCCATAAGCTCTCACTCTACCAGTTGTGTTCGAGTAGAGAGCCTTTATAAGGTTAATGTACTTCTTTGGTACTCCTTTCAGTGACAAACACTGCCATAGAACCTCACGATCAACAGAGTCGAATGCCGCCTTAAGGTCGAGAAATACTACCATTGTGGGGCGTCTGAATGTGTGTCTGTGTTCTAGAACCTGACGTAGTGTGAATATCTGATCTATACAACCACGTCCAGGTCGAAAACCAGCCTGGTTTTCTCTAATCTGCTCTTCACGAGCTTTAGTTAGGCGTCGAAGTATTATTGAAGCTAATATTTTAGACACTATATTAGTCAAACTGATTCCTCTGTGATTGTCACAAGAGGACTTTTGTCCTTTCTTATAGACTGGCACAATCAGTGATTGAGACCAGTCAGATGGGATTACGTCCAGTTCCCAAATTCTACCTAAGACCTCAGTTAATCTCATTGCTAATACTGGACCACCATCCTTAAAAATCTCAGGAGTAAACCTGTCAGGGCCTGCTGCTCTCCCTCGTTTCAGATTTCCTATGGCTTTTTCAACTTCGTAAAGGGACGGAGGACCTACATTAACTTGCCATTCAGGTTGACTAGAGATCGTGGGAAACCGAAGTGTGGCTGAAGGCCAGTTGAACTGATCCCTAAAGTGTTCTGCCCATCGATCCAATCTCCTGGATTGAGAATGAATAATATGTCCATCTTTCTCTGAGATTGTTTCGCTAACGGTCGGGTTCCTAATTCCGGTTTCCTTAACGAGTCTGAACAATTGTCTGCTATTACCTATTGCCGCTGCCTTTTCCATCTCTCTTGCTTTCGCTACCCACCACTGTTCGCGATCATTGCGTAGACTTCTTGTCAGCTTGCGCTTAAGCTGACTCCGCTCTTCATTATGTTCAGAGCCAGGTGGAATGAGTTTCCGAGCATCTATCAGTGCGATAGATGCTGCTGAGATCCAGTGTTGCTCCCTAACCTTCTGGTTTACCTTACTAGCAGATATCACTGCTGTTTCCACAGCTTTTCGGATATCATTCCATGCTGCATCGGGGTGGGCATCACATACATGGCTGCCTAACTGTTTTCCTAGTTGTTCCTGAAATATACTCTTAGCTTGACTATCATTAAGTAGGCCCTAAGAGGTTTCCTTGCAGCGTCTTTCCTACGTCCAGTAAGACGCAAGCAAATACGCGCTCGCACTAGAGCATGATCTGAATCTAGGCATGTGCTCCAGAATGAGCGACAGTCTTCTATCGAGCCCCTCCATCGGTGGCTGATAGCGATGTGATCTATTTGGGTCCAACGTTGGGACGAATTAGGGGGTCGCCATGTTAAAAGATGTTTTTCCTTATGCTTAAAGTTAGTATTTGCAAGGAACAGGCGGTTATCTGAGCATAGCTGCAACAGACGGTCGCCATTATCTGTTCTTTGAGCCACGACACCATAAGATCCACCTAGGTGTCTTTCCCTATCGCTTAGTTTACCTACTTGAGCATTAAAGTCACCGGCCACTATTACTACATCCGAGCGCTAGCTTTTCGGAGAAGGTCCGAAAGCTTTCTGTAAAACTCATCTTTTACATCATCTGAGCTGCAGTCAGTGGGAGAATAGGCAGAGACGACGAAGAGGCAACGACGAGTGTCCCTATCTTTCCGGATTCTTACTGTTCCGTTCAGTCGGACAGCGCACAAACGACTGTCTACTGGGATCCACTCTAAGAGAGCTAGTTCTGCCCTAGGACTCAATGCTATACCTACGCCGGCGAGGCCACGGGAAGCAGAATCAGGGCTTCCAGATACACGAAGCGTAAATCGAGTCGGTTCTTTATTTTGGCATGGTGAGGTCAAATGAATGACGCTACTTGGATCCTGTATGCGCGTTTCGGAGACGCAGCACACATCGATGGCGCGAGATTCTAAAGTTTTAGCTAAGGAAGCCTGCTGTCCTATTTGGCAAAGTGTTCGTACGTTAAAAGCTCCTACGTGTAGTTTAGAGCGTGGTTTCAGGAGACCAGGAATGGCGTTCCACGTACTCGAATCGTTTGCCCTAGCGGTGCGAGGTGATAAAGAGACGTGAGGAGGGTTAGTCATGGAGATAAGAGAGGTATTAGGAGGTGTAGGAAGGATTTGAATGTGACCACCTTGGTCTCTTGTGCTGTTACGGGTATGAGGGCTGATGTCACTTCCCGGCTGCCCACACCGTGGAAGGGTATTTCTTGAGGAACCTGAAAAGGAAATTGGATTAGTGTTGGTCTTGACGACCTGGGAGCGTGACCGCAGAGCCCAAGGGACAACTGCTTGAGGCCGGTCGCGCACGGCCTTTTTGTGGAAGGTTTTTGACGTGTTAGCTCCGTTCTTCAAAGGGCCTTACCGCCGGAGACGGAAATCCGTGAGGTAAGGTGAGGTGTGACATTTTTAGGGTCGACCTTTTCTAACCCCACCCCTCCTTGTGGGAAGGCAGCATCGCTGTCATGCTGGTTGTCCGAGGGAAACACCTTACTGCTGTCACA